AGGGGGTAACTTCGGAATATGAGATAATTCAGGCAGAGCATCAGAAATATCTGGAATCTGTTCACTTGCCTCTTGAAACTCTTTGCATGCATCAGGGAATACATCATAAATAATGAGCGGATAACCATGTTTCATGAGGTTTTTTGCCATTGGATTCCCCATGTTGCCCAGTCCAATGAATCCAACTGGAGTCTTAGAAGCCATTGACCTAGAACACACCGCTGCAAGGCTGGCTGCTGCCGGCCGCTGCCTGTGGCTCCAGTACTGGAGGCCGGAGGTGGCTCCTCGGAGCTGCAAGGAAGCTGCCATGCTGCCCCCGCCCGCCTCCCCGCGGTGACCTCCACCGCCTCCCAGCTAGCCCACAGACTGCGAGAATGCGCAACCCCGCAGGCGGGCTGGCGCGATCTCCCTGATCTTCTCCTTCTTGATCTCTCCTCCCTGATCTCATTTTCTCTGATCAGCTCTATAAAAGCCCCCTGTTCCTGCAGATAGGCAGAATCACAGCCTTTGGGACAGGAGTGCCTTGTGTTTCTCCTTTGCTAGCAAAGCAACAAACCTTCTTTTTCCCTTTTTTAACCTCATCTTCATTATTAGACTGGTATCGAGGACAAGGACTGAGCTTTTGATTACAAAGGTAGCAGCAARCATGATCTTCCTTTAATATGTGATAATGATATTAACGTGCTATATGATATATAAGACCCAATCCTCTCAAATAGTTTATTGTTCCTCTTTGTATTTTCCACTGTCTATATTTCTTTTTTTTTTTTTAATTTTAATGTTTATTTATTTATTTTTAGTTCTCGGCGGACACAACATCTTTGTTTGTACGTGGTGCTGAGGATCAAACCCCGGCCGTACGCATGCCAGGCGAGCGTGCTACCGCTTGAGCCACATCCCCAGCCCATTGTCTATATTTCTTAGGGCACAAAACATTTATAGATACTAGACTCAAATAACAAATTAAAAATTAGTGTTAAAATATTTGTTTATTTATTTTTTTGTTTATTTTTATGTGGTGTTGAGGATCGAACCCAGTGCCTTACATGTGTGAGGCAAGTGCTTTGCCACTGAGCCACAACACAAGCCCCTAAAATGGTTATTTTTAATGAAAAAATATTTTTTTTTATGAAAAAGAAGTTTATTGCTTTGCTAGCAAAGGAGAAACACAGGGTACTCCTGTCCCAAAGGCTGATTCTGTCCATCAGGGGATACAGGGGGTTTTTAAAGAGGTGATTCAGAGGCTACACTCCCTGGTTCTCTGTTCAGAGTTGTAAATTGGGGTTCTGAGATCTTCTAGTGCCATTCCCAAATCTGAATTACTTTATTCCTGTGGTGGGTGTGCATACAGAGAGAACTCTGCCTAGGATGGGGAAAAACGGTAGTCCTGTTTTCCCTGAGATTAGGGAGGAGCAGGGAAAGAGGAAGAGAAAGAAACATATCTGTTTGGGGGGCCATGGTTACAACAATCTATTACAGGTGGCAGGGAGCAGATGTCTAACTGAAGGATTCCCAAAGAGGTGGACAACCAGGTACTCTACCTTCATCCTGTCCCACTCTACAATTTTTTTTCCTCTATGATTTGGACCAAGGAAATAAAATAYCATTGCTATTTTTACAGAGCTAGGGCGAATAAAATCCATCATAAAGATAACTTTGGCAATTTGCATGACTTCACCCAAACCATAGAAGATCCAATTTATCAATGTTAAATAACAAGTTCTAAATTTATGCTACTAAAAAGCAAATTATGGTCAGGCAGAACAGAAAGTTATTAAAAAACACTGCATGGAATTTCACTTGAGACCAAATTTATGAGTCTAAAGTGATCAAAATGAATTAACAAAAATTAACTTTAAGATCATGAACAGTGAAGTTTCCCCAGAACAAAATATTCTGCGCATTATGGCTATTTCCTGGTGAAAACTTGTAGAAGAGTATGAAACTAGAGAATCTAGAAGCTGACTACAATAGTAAAGAGGGCTCAAATATGAGTTGGAGTACTTGCTCTGGAGAAGAGGATGAAGACTTGTAGAAAATACAAAATCTGTTCTAATACATTTGRAAAGATTTTCCATAGAAGAGAATTCTGGAGGGTAAATAGGACCAGTGGAAGAAAGTTGTAACTGTAGATAGATTTTGGCTCAAGGTAAAGCAGAGTACTTTAACAACTTGAATGGGCTAGCAAGGAATGGACATCTTATGAGTTAATGACCTCTCCCCCTGAAAGTCCAAGAGGATTCTGGGTGACTATTCAAGAAGCCGAAGAAGAGATTCTTGAAAAATATGCAATTGAATGATACCAACTTTCATCTTTTCCTATATCTTCACTTATTAAATGACATTTTCCTTTGTTATCATCTTTTTATGACTGCAGCACTCTTTAAAAGCTATGAATACTGTCATGAGTTTTTATTTTGGTTATTGAAACAAAATGTGTAAAGAATAGTTCCCCTTCCTGTAGCTGACTCTAAAGCCTCTTTTGAAATTATACAGTTATCACGTATTAATTGTACAAATCGGTGGGATTCACTGTGGTGTGTCTATACATATATGTTGAGGATAGTGAGGGTTAATCACGTCCAACCACTCTACTCTTCTACTCTCAAACCCGTACCCCTCTTCCCCAGCAGCCTTTCCAGGGCTTGAGTCCTTCTTAATTTCCTTCTGTCCCCCTTCACTCTTCCCYATCTCTAGTGACCACTGTTTCATTCCACACTTCTACCAGGTTGGCTTTTTGGTTTCCTTAGATGAATGATGCTATGTGTTGCATTTCTCTTTCAGCCTCTGGCTTGTTTCACTCAACATTGTGTTTCCCAGTTGCATACACGTTACTGTAGACGACAGGATTTCATTCATATTTATGGCTGAGTAGTATTCCATTGTGTAAATCATACCATTCACCTGTTAAAGGGCATTTTGGCTATTGTGAATAGTGCTGCAATAAAGATGGAGGTGCAAGTGTCTTTTTGGTATAAAGATTTCAATTCCTTTGATTATATATCCAGTAGTGAAATTTCTGTTATGTGATAGTTCTGTTTTAAGTGTTTTGAGAAATCTCCATAATTTTTAATAATGCTGTACTTGTGTTTACTTTCCTACTAGTGGTGTGTAAAAGTTCACTTTTATTTGCATCCTGGCCAGCATTTATTTTATTATTTATTCTCTCTCTCTCTCTCTCTCTCTCGGGAATAAACCCAGGGTACACTGAGCTACATCTCCAGACCTTTTTATTTTTTGTTTTGACACAGGGTCTTGCCAACTTGAGGTTGGTCTGGAACTTGTGATCCACTGGGATGACATGATATATTTGACTATCTCTAATGATTAGTGAAATTTTGTATTTTTTTTTGTGTGTGTATGTGATTATTGGCCATTTTTATGTCTTCTTTTGAGAGGTGTCTGTTTAGGGACAGTCTCTTCAATATACGGTGCTGGTAATGTTGGATAGACATATGCAGAGGAATGAAACTAGACTCCCCTTTTTCTCACCACACACAAAAATCAACCCCAAATGGATCAAAGACCTGAACCTTAAACCAGAAACTCTGCCAGATTTCTACAAGAAAGGAGGTGGAACACTTCAAGACGTTGGTGTTGGCAATGATTGTTTAGACAGAACTCCAAAAGTACAGGCAACAAAAATAAAAACAGACAAATGGGATTACATCATGCCAAGAAGCTTTTGCACAGCAAAGGGAATAATCAACAGGATTCCGACAACCTACTGAGTGGGAGAAAATATTTGCAAATGGTACTTCTGACAATGGCTTGACATCTAGAATGTATAAGGAATTCAAAAAGATGAGCACTCAAAAAAAAAATCAAACAACTTAATTTAAAAATGGGCTAAAAACTCTTCTTTGCCACCTATGACCTTGAAAGGAACCCTTGGAATCTTCTAGTTCAGCCTCTGCTTCAGATACAAGGGAGCTGGAGCCTAGAGCCATAGAGAGACTTGCCTGAGGGTCRGTGCACTCCCACAGGTGGACAAGCCCGAGCAAGGAGAACAGGATGATGCCGGGAGAGCTCAGCCTTGAGATTGCCAAAGGCTCATGTTCTTACCCTTGAAGTAGCTTTCGTTAGCCACTTCAGTTTCCTTTTCTCAAAAACAACGATGATGCTTGTTTCAGTTAGCTTTCTATCTCTGTGACCAAAATAACTGACAAGAACAACTTAGAGGAGYGAAAGTTGATTGGGGGCTCATGGTTTCAGAGGTTCAGTCCACAGACAGTGGGCTCCATTGCTCTGGGCCTATGGGGAGGCAGGATTCATGGAAGAAGGGCTCACTKCAGGAAAGGTGCTCACTGCATGAGATTCAGGAAGCAGAGAAAGGGGAGAAGGAGCCKTGAGGAAGATGCACCCTTCTAGGTTACACTCCCCAACTCCTCCAGCCACACCCACCTGCTTACAGTTACCACCCAATACATTCAAACTAGGATGAGCTGATTAGGTTACCACTCTCCTAATCTAGTMATTTGGCCTCTGAATAACCCTGMATTAGTAGAAGTGTTGGGGGGACACCTCATATCCAAACCATAATACTTACTATGGATTATGTTGAGATTAGCACTATAAAGTGCCAGGTATGCACTAGCTTTCAAATAAATGTGGGACATCATGTTGGACATCTTGGACATCATGTTGGCTTTGTTTTCAGTAAGACAGTGGTATTAGTTTTTTTTTTTTTTTTTTTTTTCTGAATGTCCCAGCATAACAGGTCATAAGTCTCAAGAGGACATTGCTGGCTTACACACATCATTCCAGCATAATTATTGATAACATCCCATTTCACTCTCAAAAGTATCTCTATTTTAAGTGAATCCTAGGGTTTGCCTAAGAATGAAAGTTCTACCTAGAACTTTCTCAGTGTCTTCCTTAGGGCATCTTTCAGTTCCTTGTTCCTCATACTGTAGATCAACGGGTTTAAAATGGGGGTGATAAAGGTATAGACCACAGACACCACCCGGCCCATCTCAGGAGAGTAACTGGAACTGGGGGACAAATAGATAAAGCTGGTGCAGCCGTACTGCAGGAGGACCACGGCGATGTGAGAGGAGCAGGTGGAGAAGGCTCGGTGGCGCCCTTCGGTGGACCTGATTCGTAGAATAGCTGCCACGATGAAGACGTAGGAGACGGAGATCAGGGACAGTGGGAGGCTTAGGACCATGAAGCTGATGACGTACAGGGCCATCTGGTGAACACGGGTGTCGGCACAAGCCAGGCGCATGACTGCGGGCATGTCACAGTAGAAGTGGTAGACCTCATTTTTGTGGCAGAATGGGAGATGGAAGATCAAGATGGTTAGTGGCAGTGACAGCAGGAATCCCAGCACCAGGGACCCCACCATCAGCTGCACACTCAAGGACCAGCTCATGATGAGGGTGTATCTCAGCGGGTAGCAGATTGCTATAAACCGATCATAAGCCATGACGGCCAGTAGGACACAATCAGCTCCTCCCAAGAAGACAAAGAAAAACATCTGCGAGCCGCAGCCAGTGACCGAAACCGGGGTTTTGCCCATTGAAAGCAGGTTGGCCAATGCCAGGGGGGCAATGGAAGACGTGTAGAGGATTTCCAGGAGCGCCAGGTTYGCCAGGAAGAAGTACATGGGGGTGTGGAGGGAGGGGTTGATCCGGACAGTGAGAGCAATGGTGGCATTTCCACCGAGGCTGGTCAGGTACATCGCTAAGAAAGCCACAAAAATCACCCTCTGCACTTTGGGGTCAGGTGAGAAGGGGCGGAAGAAGAACTCTATTCCTGCTGTTTTATTTATCCCTTCCATGGGTAGTGTGTGGGACCTACCAAAGGGAGGATGGCACGAGTGTCATGGTTTTCTCAGCTGTTCSGTGTCAGAGCACTTGCTGAAGGGACCCTGGCAACGACAGGCAAACCTTCGTGTGAGAGGAGGTCATTTCACCTGATGATCCACACATTTGTCATTTCCTCCTCTTTCCTCTCCATTCCCCGCCCCAAGTCCCACAGATTGAAAAATCCTTCCTTATCTGTCCCGAGAGTGAAAAAAATTATTTTCCTACACTACCTCATACATCAGAATCCCTCTAGATTTCCTCTTTAAGTCGGGTGAAGTGTGGCGACTCTTTCATCTCCTTTGYAAGCTAGTTGTGATTGTTAAAAGATGGTTCATGAAAAACATCTTGACTACAGATGCATCTGCACGGCCTGATGGACCTATGTGGTATAACTGTTTGGCTTACCTGAAGAGCAGAATAAAATCTTAATTTGGGGATTTTGATGGTGGGATAAACAGAGAAAGAAGAACAGTGTTACACTCATCATTCACAGGCAGAGGCTCTGCCTGGAGCATAGGTATCTGTGATTTCTGGACACGTTCACACTGGTTGTAGCAGAACCAGGGAGGATCTGTTGATACCTAGTCAAAGAACAGACTCCAATATCAGATGCATTCAAACAAAAACCATTTTTCCTTACAAGTCATTCTTTAAAAAAATTGTTTTTCAGTTGTAGATGAACACAGTACCTTTATTCTCTTTATTTATTTATTTTTTATCTGGTGTTGAGGATCGAATCCAGTGCTTCACACATGCTAGGTGAGTGCTCTACCACTGAATCACAACCCCAGCCCCACAAGTCATTCTTGAATAACTTTTTATATATGTGTAAAGTGACTCTCCTGGGTACTTTTTGGAAGAAACTCCTGTGAACATTTTTGGACAATGGCATCCAGAAAAAAAACAAGAGCCAAAGCTGGATCCCTTTACTGTCAATATGTTAAATCATCAGGAGTTTCTTTTTTTCCCAAAGGTCAACAATGGCAACACACAAGGGATTTCACATGGTTCAACAGGAGACTTCTACAAGTGAACTCTGAGCGTATCATGTGAAACATTCAGATGTTCAAAAAAGTTACCACACTCCTACAGCAATAATAATGGTCATTTTTATTGTGCCCTCACTAGTTTTGGTACAATGTGCCAATCATTTACAGGCAAAATCTCCCTTAAGGTGGTTTTTCAGTTCTACAAAACAGGTACCTCTTTACTCATATTTTTTTTGGATGAAGTTTTAGTGTTTAAAGACAGAGAAGGAGTTAATTTCTAAGTCAGTCTGAAATCAAGTCTGTTTCTTTTTAGAATTAATTTCTAAAGCAGTGCATTATAGTCATACATAATAATGGGATTAAATGTGACGCATTTACACGTGCGTACAACATATTCTTGTCCCTGTCTTTCCTCCCCTCTGCCTCCCCTTCCTCTACTCTCATGGTCTCCCTCATATTGTTACGACATCCAACTTGCTCTTTTCTCCAATTTTTTCTCTCTGGTCAAGTCTTTCGATCACTAAAATAAACGGTCTCACTAAGCAACRCACCAGGTACAAGACTGAATGACACATGTCTGAGGGAGAGAAAATTCTTTAATTGCAATTGTCCTTTATGGACAAACTGTCACTACAAATGGGGTGTGCCACCAACAGCCCCTGAGTCACTATGAAGTCACTCCAATTTGTAATATCTTCTTTTTTGTTCCTTTTTCTTCCTTTCTCACCACATATGCAATCAATGACATTTATTTTAATAGATACCTTTGACAAAGCTTTATGAAGGCCCTACTCTATACAAAGCATAGCCTTTGTTTCTGGGAAAAGAGGGAGAAATGTGGAAAATCAGAAGGCTTCGACTTGAATGAGAGATACGGTAATAAAGTTGAATTCAGTTAAGTGCTGCCATAAAACAAAGATGTACTAGGAGAACACGGGCAATAATGCCTTTTGAAAAATCACATAACATTACAATTATTTTTTACCTTTATTTATTTTTATGTGGTGCTGAGGATCAAACCCAGTGCCTCATACCTGCCAGGCAAGTGCTCTACCACTAATAACCATCACCCCAGCCCTACAATTATCATTATTATTATTATCTTTTAGTTGCCAATGGACCTTTATTTTATTTATTTATATGAAGTGCTGAGGATTGAACCCAGTGCCTTACACATGCTAGACAAGCGCTCTACCACTGAGCCACAACCCCAGCACTATGATTATTTTTAACGAATCGAGTTTCCCACATGAAGGAAACTTCTGGTCCTTCCTTTTATAACAGAAATAGATAGTTTTTTTTATTTTCAACATCTACAAAGTTGAAATTTGGAATGATGGTTGCATTTTAAAAAGTTGAAGAGTCCTTGAAATCACATCTCTGTATCAGAGCTGATTAGTATTGAGCTCTGGTTATCTGATTTAGAATGTGATTCTTCTGACCTTTCTGAACAGACTTTTCTCTGCCTCACATCAGTTTGAAGATCAGGTTGGAAGAGGGTTTCACAGTGTGTATTCTTGAATTTACCTTGAGCTCTCTGGATCAAACACTGGTCCTAAGTAGGAGCTGTACTTTGACTCTTACTACAGAAAATTCCAGCTTAGCCTCCTGCTATCTTCCTACCCCAAACCTTGGCCTAATTACAGAGGATTTTTCTAATATGATCTGAGGTCTAGGAGTAAATTCTTACCTTTTGGATGGGCCCACAGGAACTTCAAGCCATTGCAGATTTACATTGATCCTTTGCTGAATGCAGGACTCCAGGGACCTGCCTCAAGGTCCTACTGTCCTTAGGAGATGTCCAGGTTGGGCATGTTGATTACTGTTAGATCTCACATCGATGATTCAGGGTACTATGTTGAAATGCTTCTTAAGCTAGATCTGATTCCTACTAGATCACTTCTACCCTTTTCTTCTTTGTACAAATTGACAGGCAGGTTTTACTTATCATCTCTCTGTAGTTTGGAACTTAACCTTTCAAGTTGCACTGCTATTCAGACTTAAAATTATCATCAAATAATGACATTTGTAACTAACCTGAATAATGAGTCATCTTGGTCCCCTGAGATGACTGAGCTCTGTTCGGGAAGGGTAAATCAACAAGATTAAATACAGTGTACCTAAGAGTTAAAAATTGCATCAGGATTATTCCATTGGTACATCTTCCCTAGGGGCTGTATTTTAGTAAGTTCTTCTTGTTTTCAGTGATGAGGTCAGTTGGGGGAAAGAAAAAATATTGTTTTCATTTGACTTATCTAGAAATAATTTTAAAAAGGGAAATTTCCACACATAGCCTTATTTCATTTTATTTATTTATTTTGTCACAACCACAGTATCTCCTACACTCTTTGCCTCTGGGAAATAATTTCCTCCTAATTTTACTCCTGTCCCTCTGATATTATTTCTTAGTTTGCTTTGCTGGCTTGTCCCACTTCCCTAATTTCCACCCAAGCTGGGGCTTGGTCCCAGGTCTTTCTTTCTACTTGCATATCTTTGTAGGTGATTCAACTTTAGTTTTTTGGCTTAAAATATAACGAATACGTGTTTCTTCTGCCAATCTAACCTCATCCAYGAACTCCAGCTTGTATATGAGCTTGTCCATATGACATCCCTACTTGGGTTACTAACCAGTATCTCCCATTTAACAGACTGAAGTAGAATTTTAAATCCATTATTCCCTTGAGAGTTAGGTATTGGGCCACTCAAATCCTGACAGTCATCTCCAAATAAATTTGTTAGTTGAAATCAATGAATACTAATGCTTCATTCAATTTCATGGAAAAGATTTGTAGAGGCAGTTTTTCTTTCAGTATTTCTTTTTTTTTAATTATTATTATTTGTTTTAATTAGTTATACATGACAGTAGAATGCATTYATATACTTTGATGTATCATACATAGATGGGATATAATTTCTCATTTTTTCTGAGCATACATATTTACATGGTCATACAGTCACATACGTACATACAGTATCAGTATTTCTTGGAGAAATGATAGATCATCTTGGTCTCCACCCCCTTTCCTAAGTCACTCATGAAATAATAGAATTACAAGGAATTTTAGAAGTCATCTAGTGATTGCCACGTTGGGTCTCMAAATTTTTATAAGATCTTTAATATTATTAAGAATTCATTAGGCTCTTCAAGGTAATTTTAATATTCAAAAACTACTAACAAAGTTATACATTTTCCTGATAATGATAAACATACTATTATTACTATTATTTATTTTTTTGTTTAATTTAAAATATTCTATTAGAGCTGGGTRTGGTGATGCACACCTGTAATTCCAGTGGCTTGGGAGTCTGAGGCAGGAAGATCATGATTTCAAAGGCAGCCTCAGCAAAATCGAGGCACAAAGCAATTCAGTGAGACCCTGTCTCTAAATAAAATACAAAATAGGGCTGGGGATGTGGCTCAGTGATCGACCGACCCCTGAGTTCAAACCCTGGTATTCCCTCTGACCAAAAAAAGATTGTATTAGGAAGACCAATTTTCAAGAACACAGAGGTTTGAAGCAATRCAGAAGAATGGCAAAAATCCCTGGTCTGAATTCAGGTTGACTTAAATTCAGACCTTGTCTCAGTCATTCAGTGGATGTATGCTTTTAAGTTAATTAACCTCGGTACCCTGATCTGCAAAATGAGAGTAACAGTACTGTTTTTCACTCATGGGGCAGTTGTGGAGGTTGAGTGAGATGATACATGTGCAGTGTTTATCACAGTATCTCACAGTTTCTTAGCTGGATCACTATTAATGTGGGGTTCACAGAGAAGCTACCGTCAAGTCTGAATGGTGCAGAGAATGCTGACAGATGCTGATCTAGTTTAACATCAGTAACAATAAGTCTCTTCATTCCCAATATTTTTGACAGGTAGAAATCAACTACACTAGATCATTAAACCACAGAGAAAGAACTAGGAGGAAGCAAAGACTTCATCCTATGGAAGTAAAAATACAACTTCTGGTATACATTTAATTG